ATACTATGAATTATTAAATTATATAAATTGCATTAATTTATTCATTTAATCATTTATTAGATAATTTATTATTTGCTTATTTAAATTTTTAGCTAAATATAAAATGCATATTTACCTAAGACGTCTTACATGTTACATGATGTTTTTTTTACAAGCATAAGTTCAGATTTTGTTAAAAAATAAGTATATTATAAGCTTTTTATTGAATTTTACTCTTAATAACATATGTTTTTGAGCATAAGTTTTTTGGAATGCTTGAAGGTGCTTATTTGATGCATGAAAACTAGTTAATTAAATTTTTTTTTTAAATTATTGTGTTGCAAAACAAAAAATTGGGTAGATTAGAAAGTTTCTGCCATTTATCTTATGTTTTCAAATATTTCATGTTTAATTCATAATTTTGATAAGTTTCAATATTAAAACAAAGATTTTAAAAAAGTATTTATTGTTTAAGGTTTTAACAACATCTTATTGGCCTTCACATACCTCTAAGTGTCACTAAGCCAACGAAACACATTTAATTTAGATAATTTATTTATATAAACAGTCAAAAGCAATTTAAGTTAGATAAATTATTTATATAAAATTAAAAAAAAAAAAAAAATCAAAAATTTGTGACAAGTAAAATTATAAATAAAAAAATGTATTACAATCTTTTGAGTTAATTGATCTGAAAGAAAAATTATAAAAAATAATTGTTTTCCTAATTGCTGTTAGTTGTTGATATACTTGTTATTGGTAACTCTAATGCTCATCACACTATGTGTCACCATCACACACAATCACACTAAATGGTACCAATGACTCTGCTGGCACTGATGCTCAAAGTGTTTGTATTTTTCATTCTCTTACCTAGGTAGTCTTTGTGGTTTGTTTTCCAAACAATCAAAATCACTTGCTATCACTCTTTGATTTGCATCATGAATTTGGTCTGCACTTTTAGCACAATTTTTTATTTGTGCTATGATCTCACTAAAACCTTCATTGTCTTCTACATCATATTAACCTGACTGACTGGAATTCCTGACTGACTGGGATTTTTTTTGTGATTTTGTTCTAGCCAAGAAAGCTTTTTTTTTTCTTGTGCAGCTGTTATTTCTGATTGTTATCTGGATATCTTTCACCTTAACAACTCTTAAAAACAAACACTTGTTTATCATATTAAGAAATTAGTGGAAAAAAGTCAAATGCTATGTTCCATTATTCTCAGATTACAAAATCTTGCATTCTACATGCATGAGAGATGGTCATCATACAGACCCCCCATGTATACACTTATCTTATTACCACTCCTGATGATAAAGCATAACCATTTGCAAAGAACTTTCTAATTAATCCTGAATTTAATGACCCTGTACTTCCTGTCATTCATTAGAAACAGATTACTCTTTAGACATCAAAATTAAAGAAACTTATTTATTGGTTAAAAAATATTCAGTGAGTATTCAGAATTCGGCCTATTCAGCTTTTTTTTACTTATTTGGCTAAATATTGCAAATTTTTCAATCGAATACCATTGTTTATAGCAAATGATTAAATGATTACATATAAATGATTATTTTTAGCATTTATTATTGCAAATGATTGTGAATTCCTCATAAATTATAGATACTTCCAAATAGCCATTCACTACTTACACTGCCACCGACAAATAATAAGAAAATTTTAGCAGGTTTTGTTAGGGTAACTCTGATCACAACTTATAAGGATTTGTTATCAATTTAGGCAAATAGTTCCATAAAAGCTGATTATATTTGCTATTGGAATTTTCTTTTCCACATCTTCATACGTGTGCATATTTTTTGTAGAGATTGGTTTGATTGTTTTCATTTACATTTCTGTTTCTTACAAAGTGGAAATCATCACCAGTACTTCTAGACACTGATGATGGTTCACTGGTGTCTAGCAACCTTTTACTAGGAAAGATTAAGCTTTCACTGACTTTATCTTGTAACTGTCAACAAATGATGCATGCTGTAACACGGCTAAGTCACAAATGAAACAAAAATGCTCACAGCGTAGCTAACGTCTATGCTTCAATGAAGCAGGTTAAAAATTTCAAAATTAATTAAGTGTTGCTGAATATTTGGCAGCCGAATATTTATCAATACTTAATTAAGTTTGGTGTTTTGGCCGAGCACCTAGCCAAATATTTGTTATTCAGCAAAATCACTATTCATGACATCTCTATTCTAAATCACTCAGGCATTTGTTTTGATATCTCATTTTGAACATTTTGAAACTTACTCTCTGACAGTCAATATAGATTTCAGTCCTCTTGTTTAATTGCTGATTTCTTTTATTACAGAAAGATTTTATCATTCATTAGACTTAGTGTGTAATACTATCTCATTAGATAGACTTAGTCTGTATAGTGTGGTAAAGGCTGTTGCTTTAGATGCATTGATATATCTGAAAAAAAAATTATTATTAGAGAAATCTGCTCCTTTCTATTTGCAGTGCTAAAGTTGTCCTTGATGGACATCTCTCTCCTTTTCAGAAACTTCCGGGGTCACAAGGTTCTAACTATGATGCTGTGTTGTTTACGTCTATTAATGATCTTCCAGATAATCTTCTAAAATAGCTTTACTAATGATTTTGTCACAACTATATACTCTAGTAGTGATAAAAAGCCACCACTTTTTCTTGTGGCTGGAAAATTTTAACCCTAAAAATTAATTGTTTACTGCTAATAACTAAATCTTTACCTCTATAAATCTTTTATCTGTCCTTGTATGTAATGCTTTTGTCATTTAGGCTGGCTTTTCTAATGATGGTTTTTCTCATTAAGGCAAGGCATAGTATAACCTGCTTGAACCTTTGTCCAATTGTTGTAAGGTTGCATTTCTTTATTCTTTAAGTGATTCATAAAATAAAAATAAGAAGATCATTTTTTTTAAGCGATCTTATTTTCTTTTGTTATTAATTTAAATTTTCATGATATATTTTTCTATACAATGTTATATCTAAAGATATTGTTGGCTTAGCATAGGAACAGCCACAAATTGTCATTAAGCTAATCCAAAGTAGTGACCATTATTGACCAACATTTTTGCATACAGTAGTACTACTCAAGTGCTGAGTTGGCAGTGGCAGGATTTGAACCTGTATTGTACAACAGTCCATGTTTAAACTTCTTGTTTGATGCTCTAGCCAACTGAGCTATCCAGCCACAGAAGAAGAGTGCCACAATTAGGAATTTCAAAATTTCAAGACTCTAAGTTCTGCACCAAATCTTGTAGTCAGACCTAAAATTGCTTCTGTGTAAGTTACAGTTAATTCAAGAGCTGATGCTACATAACAAATCTGGAAATTTAACAGCTCCAGACTTTTTTTTTGTTAGACTATCTGAAGTCTAAAGTTTACATGAGCAGGCCAGTGCTTTTAGATTAGTTTAAACAAAAATAAGAACTGTAATCTCCAGCATATTACAAGATTTGCTAGCTTCTGTAATAAAAAATCCAATATAATGACCAAAGCTTCTCAGCATAAGCCTAACAAATCAAATAGTTTTAGGGCACCCTGTACTTAAACAAAAGCATTTATTTGAAAAGTTAAAGTGTTAAATTAAGAGCAATTTGCATATGACCATTGTTTATAACTTATTTCTTGGTTGTTCTCAAACTCAGAAAAATATCAAAATAAACTTTAAAAGAAAAATATCAAATTAAACTTTAAAAGAAAAATATCAAATTAAACTTTAAAAGAAAAATATCAAATTAAATTTCAAAAGAAGTAATAGATAGACACATGAAATTGATGTATCATACATTTAAAATTTTTAACTAAACAAAGTAAAACCATTTAAAGTTTATTTTTTATTATTATTATTATGCATCTGCCATTTTTAGAATCAAGTTATTTGCAAAATGCCAAAATCGTAGTAATTTTTTTTAAAATCACACTTTTGAGATAACCTTGATTTTTCATAACATTTTTTTCTTTTTGAATTGTTGTTTGCCTCTCCAATGGCAAATAGGGCTACTGCAGCCAAGCAGGCTTTTTTTTCTGTTTTTTTACAATTGGGGTTACAAACCAGAGAAAAAGATAAGAGATATCTTTTTAACTTTGAACATAAACCTTGACAAAAAAGGACAAAAAACAAGTTGAGCACAGTTCTACCAAAGACATGGTGGGATTGAACTCAAAACTTTTTGCTTATGAAATCCACTGTTACCACATATATTAGTTATAATATATAACATAATTATCTTGATTAATGTATAGCATATAACATAATTAATATATAACATATAATATAATTAATGTATAACATAATATTAGTTATATATTACATATGTTATACTTAGTTGGTAAAAACTAGAAGTTGCAAGTGATGAGTTCACAACGTTTATATCCATATCTATTGCTTTTGAAAAGGTATAACAAAACTAATTACAATTTTGAAATCTTTAAATGAGTTAATTAAAATTACTTATCTTGAGAAATGGGTTTTTAAATTTCTCTATTTAAATAGTTACTTATCTTGAGAGTTTTATTTCTAAATTTCTCTATTTAAAGCTACTTATCTTGACAATTAGATTTTTTTATAGGAATTGAATTTTTATACATTGTTAGTTAGTTGATTAAGCTATATAAAGCCTCAGCCTTGTTAAACTCATCATCAGTTGAGTATACGCAACTGATGATGAGTTTAACAAAATATATATATATATATATATATATATATATATATATATATATATATATATATATATATATATATAATATATATATATATATATATATATATATATATTATTGTATACATATATATTTTATTGTATTTATTATATATATATATATATATATATATATATATATATATATATATATATATATATATATATATATATATATATATATATATATATATATATTATAATGTACAAAATTATATTTAAGGCATTTTATAATTATGTTTTTTTAATTTATGTTTTAAATTTAAGGAAACATTGAAAATTTCAAAATTTTAAAAAGGATAAAATATCTTTTTTTAGTAAGGTACTTTATGGATCAATAAAGCTGACTTCTTTTGAAGGTCTACAGTCAAGGTTAATTTTTTTTTTTTTAATGATTTGATTGAAAAGTCATTACTTCAGACTGTAATTACTGCAATTAACCAAAGTTATTTTTTGTAATTTTGCTATTTTTAAAATTATTTAGTTGAACTAGTGTTATCAAAAGTTTTTAAGTTCTTTATTTGGTAATTATGTAATTTTAAGTTCTTTCTTTAGTAATTATGTTATTGAACATTGCTATATGATGATTTTTAATTGCCAAATTATAAAGTTTCTTATTTTGTTATTAGTATGTTTTATAATATTAAAAGATCTTATATTAAATGATAATAGATGCATTGACTAATCCTAACACCTTATCATTTTTTTATCATCTTTAGCAAAATCAATTGTTTTGAAAAAAACTAAATTAAAAAACTATATATTTATAAATTTAAATACATATTTAAGATGTAAATATTGGTGAACAAAAGTTGAAAAACATGTTTAACATAGAAAATAAACAAAGAATTCACAAGGTAAGTATTTGTTATAGACACATTATTTCTTAGAATATCGCAAGTGGGTTGGGTATTAGAAATATGATGGACATATTTATTTTGATAATTGATTGATGTTTTTTTACCCATTTTAAAGATTAAACAATCAATTTATGTTTGTTTAATTTTTATAAAGTATAAATCATCCTGCCACTGGGATGGTTTATACTTTATAAAGAGGTGAGGGAATGGCATCCCGCCTCACCTTGAGAAATGTATATGCAATATCGAACAAAACAAGTGCAACCAAATAATGCTAATTTAGTTTCTTTATATAAGTGTTGCATTTTTTCAATTTAGATAAATAACTATGTAACTGTTTAGAGACAACGTTCTTCAAGTTTTATTCATTACAAAGTTCATTATTTGTACACGAAAATTAATAAATTAATCAAAAGTATTAAAAAATGTTGATTTCCTTGTGGAAAAAACAAGTGCAACTCCGCAAAATGTTGACCAAGCTGTATTTTGTTATCAATATTGTGGCGAATTCTTTGTTGTTGATCACAGTCTTGCATCTTCGAGGCATAGATTCAATCAGGTGATCAAATAAACTTTGTGGAATCGCTGCCTAGGCCTTTTGGATTTGTTCAAACAGTTGATCCTTATTACAGACACCTTCATATATCCAGGGATCTTTCTTGACGGATCTGACAATCATAAAATCCTCTCTAGAAGTTGTGGAACGCGGTCTTCCACCTTTGTTATCTGCTGCCAAATTCCTCGTAGAACGATATTTGGAACATAGTCTTGATACGGTCCATTTTTTCACGCGATTTTTATCACAAATACTTTTTTGTGACATTCCACTTACGTAATCACCAATCATTTTCTTTCTTAGTTCTAATCCAAGATTGTCCGGAGCCATTTTTGCACTTGAAGTCATAAAAATAATAAAAATAAATAATCACGCTTCTCAAGGCTTACCATGTTACATTTACCTTGTGATGATACAATAATGCTCTGTGGAACACAACGTCTTGGTTGGGTGTGGACTGTATTGATGTAATGAAACACTTGTTGTATTTCACTTCTTGTATTGATGTTCTTAGATAAAACACTTTGATAAAACTCACTTTGATAAACTGTCTTGATAATACTGACTGATTGACTTCCATATATTGACTGAATTACATGTCCGTTTACATGTCTCTTATATAGTAAAATGAACCTGTGTGAACCTGTTCTGGAAGATTCTAGATACTTCTTTTCGATGCTTCTAGAAGTTTCTGGATGCTTCTAGATGCTTTCAGAAGCTTCTTCTGGAAACTTCTGGAAACTTCTGCATGCTTCTGGAAACTTCTGGATACTTCCTTTAGTTATTAAAAAACCTCCGTGATGTTGACACAGACCAGACTTAAGAAAATGAAACAAACCAAAAAAGTTGCACTTGTTTTGTCCGCTGCAAAATAGCACTTGTCAACGAAAATTCTGCCTGTGTGCTATCACCTGTCAGCTGATTGCTCATGTCATGGCATGCTATGACTCCAGACTCAAGAACTGTTTGCTGTGGTAGTATAGTTCGTTTTGTTTTTAAGACATGTAAAATTAGGAACACTTTTTAGCATTGTTCGATGTTGGTTGCAAATGTTTTATCCAATACTGTTGGGGTGTATATTAGGGTGGGCCGAAAAAAAAAATTTTCTGATTTTTGATTCGCTATACCGCGGAAAACATGCTTCAAGGGTATCTAAGGAAAATGCAAAAAATATTTTATATCTGGAGCTAGCGCATCGTACTTGAATATTTGAATAAATACTCGCTTTTTATCATTTTTGTAACAAAGTGCGCTTTAGAATATTCCCAAAATGCGCTGCAAAACTGGTGTTTTTCTTGCTACAACAACCTGTTTTGATATAATTTTGTTTTGATTATTTGATAATATTAACCAATCTGTGATGGCTGTTTTTAAAAAAATTACTCGTAGCAAATTTATGTTCCCAATTTTTAATCATCCAATAGAATTATCTGCAAATAAACTTCCAACTTATGAAGAAGTTCTCAAGTGTTGTTTTAATGAAAATTACAAACTAGTCTTGAAATCAAACAACAAACCAGTTAGGTTTTCTTATGTTTCAAATTGTGTCGCACAGCAAGTTAAATCAGTGTTTGATAAAGCTTCAATACCCACAGTAACAATTTACAGAGTTGTCCAATTAATAGATGGATACCATGACAGTTATCGCAACCTTATGAAATCCTTCAAGCTTGATAAAGAAAAAGGAAAGTTCAAAAAGAGAGTTAAAGATTTTAAAACAAAATTATTGTTATTGTTTGATGTCTCGTGTAAGTGTAAAATAACATTAGACTACAAATGTAAAATGGTAACTGAAATTTGTGAATGCAAGTGTTCTGTTTCAATTATCTGTATGTGTGAAAAAGAAAAAAAAATCCTCATCATTGAACTAAAATATGTGTACTTCCAAAGAATGCATGGTATTGGTAAAATCAGAAGTATTGACGTAAAAGAAACAAAAAAAATTACATAAAAAAGCAATAGGAAGTGTGCTGAACTTAAAAGAACTATGCCCGCTAATAATCTATTATCGCAACATTCATGCTAAAAACCATTTAGATGAAACACTAAAGCAAAAAAAGTTTGATAGTGATGCCTCCATAGCCATTACAGAAGTCATCGATGAAGAATTAGAAGAATTTAAGCTAACTAAGCCATCATGGCAGGTGCGCATTACAATGAAAAATACTGCTCTGACTAGCAATTGCTATGGATTATCAGACAGAGCAATGGCAGCTATTGCCTCAAGTGTTTAGCAAGATTTTGGTAACGTAACCAATTATGATCCTAGTCTTGTTGTTGACAAAAATAAATTTAGAAGAGCAAAAGTAGCTAACCGTTCACAACTTCAAATGCTGAACGAGGAGAAATATAACCCACTTCAAGAACTGTATTTTGATGGGAAGAAGGACAAAACTCTAGTGGTTGACAAAATTAAATTGAAACAGTTTCCACGAACCATAAAAGAAGAACATTACTCAATTTTACAACAACCAGGTTCCGTGTACGTTGGTCATGTTTCACCAACTTCTGGGTCTGCTGAAAACATTGCCAGTAGCATTATTTCATATTTGAATGAAGCTGGATTTTCATTTTATGAACTGGATGTAATCGGATGCGATGGCACTGTTACTAACACGGGATGGAAATCCGGTGTTATTGCCACAATTGAAAAATATGTAAACCGACCACTGCAGTGGGGGATTTGTCTCTTACACTTTAACGAATTGCCATTCTGGCATTTTATCATTTTATAGTTATTTCAAACTTTAGACAGAGAAACGACAGGCCCAAAATCATTTAGCGGTCCGATTGGCACACAGCTTAATAAGTGTGAAAAATTACCAGTGGTAAAATTTGTCAGTGTTCATTGTGAAATTCCAGAAATTGACCGCAAAATTTTAAGCAAAGATCAGCAGTTCTTGTTGGATATAAGTTCTGCTATTAAACAGAGATGATTGACTGGAACACTACCACACTTCTGCCGCCACCTTTGCTGCGAAGAGTCTCAGATAAAGATATTTGGTCAAAGATCCAATCAGGTGAAACAGCGGCTGAGTGGAACTTTGAAAAGTTTCCATGCCACACCCAAGCAGTAGAATGATACGTAAAGCTTGTAACAGAGGCTTCACAAAAGGTAGCTGGCTTCAATTCCAGAGATGGCATTATAAGAACTACACACATAACTCCAGATCCTCAATGCCTGATTTTTCAAGGAAATCGTGTTTTAAACTATCAACAGAAATTAGCGAAAAGTAAAAGAAAATATTTTTTCACAAAAGTTTTAGTCAAAAAGATGGTTTTTTAATTCAAAAAAAAAATTTCTTATTTACCATTTCAATACTTTTTTTTACTTAAATTGTCTCTACATACAGTGGCGTAGCTAGGGTTTCTGGTGCCCAGGGCAACGCTGAAAAGTGGCGCCTCCCTCCTGAAACAGACATGCGAATTAAAAAAAACTTCATGGGGGAGACTTTTAACGATAAGGCCCTGAAGGAGCCGCATATGGAGGTCCTGCTAGGAAGAGGGGCAGCTTAAGTGTCCCTCCCCTTCCCAGCTAGGGGTATGGGGTAGCGCTGTAAGTTCCCCCAGCGAGATCTGGGGCGAAGCCCTTCATCTGACAACGGTTTTGCAACATGTTATACACCTAAAATTATGCTAAAGTACCTCATTTTCAGTAATATTTGGACTGACTTGCATTAACAAATTCAGCCCAAAACTCCTTTTTGGTGCTGCCCCCCAGAAAGGCTCCCAGGGTGACTGCCCCACAAGCCTAACCCTTATTACGCCTCTGTCTAGATATTTGTTAAAGAATTTATTCAATTTCATTTCTAAAAAAATTCAATTAGATCCTCTATAATGGCAACTTCCCAAAGTTGGAGTTTTCTTACTTTTAAAATTAAGCTGAAAAAAAAATTAAAAAAAAAAAAATATATATATATATACATGTATATATATATATACACTTACTAAAGCGT